AAAATAACACATCAGAATGTAAATTCCTAACAAAATATACAAGTTAACAAAAGTATGTACATATTATATTTTTGAACTAGTCATATTTTTTAAATGCTTAATAAATAAAAATCAAATTATTCAAACGGAAAAAAATCAATTACAAAAAATAAAAAAACTGAAAATATTGTCACACAAATATTTTTTTAAACTGGAAATGTACATTAGCAACAGTTCCATTGACCACTGCAAAATTTTGTATAACTTATACTTTAATTTAAATTAAAAAATTTTGGAGCGGTTATTAAAAACTGTCGTAAATTTTAAATCATCCAGCGTATGCAAATGCAAAACATGCAACAGTTTTTAAGAACAGCTGCAAATGTTTATTACTTTGCCAAATTTTCAATTTTTTGGCATTATATTTGCAACGGTTCAAAACCTTGCAAATTTGAAAATAAACCATTGTAGATATCATACTTCCTAGACATGGTTGTAGCAATTCTGACATGATTTTGTAGCGGAATTTTGCAGTGGTGTTGACCACATTTCTAGCAGTTTGTAAAAACCATGGCAAATTATATTTGTCACACTCATTTTAGTAGCGGTTTTTAAAACTGCTGCAAACACACAAAAACAACCACTATAAGGTACTTTTTTTTTTTGTAGTGAGTAATTAATTTCAAGTCCATCAACAAGGTTATACATGCTTTTCAAATCCTTTGCTATGAATTTGGGAACAATTATTTAGAAGAAGAATAACCAACTATCTAAAAACCAAATTAATAGCATTACATGAAACATTTCTGGACAACAAACTACATGTACAAGCCAACATCAACCTATTAGAGCAAATTATACAAACTAGCCAACAAACTAGCTAGTCAACATCAAGTTTTTGAAAGTGCTTACTTGTTCAGTTGCAATTTTTAAGCTTTTTTTAGGGAGAATTACAATGAGGTCCCACTTAAGGGAATTAAATACAAAAAGGTCTCTTGAAATTATGAAATTATTCTGAAGTCCCAAGGGACTTTTTTGCAATACATTTTATTTGTTTAATTACCAAATTACCCTTCTTTTTTTTTTTTAATTTGTATTGACAACTAAAAAGCAGTGGTTGACAACTCAGGGTACAAGGATTGACAACTATCGCGACTGGTTTGACAATACATTTTCTCAACATATCACACCATAAGTTGTCAAACCAGCCGCGATAGTTGTCAATCCTTGTACCATGAGTTGTCAACCACTGCTCTTTTAGTTGTCAATACAATTTTTTTTTTTTAAAAAAGAAGGGTAATTTGGTAAGTAAAGAAATAAAATTTAATGTAAAAATTTTTTTGGGACTTTAAAATAATTTCATGATTTCAAGGGACCTTTTTGTATTTAATTCCCTTGAGTGGGACCTAATTGCCATTTTCCTCTTTTTTTAACTCTCGGTATATTTGCATTGGACTCACTAAATAAGCTAATAACTATAACTTCACAGCAAGTAATCATACTGGTTAAGCCTTTACTCACTATTTTAACAAATACTACAAGTTCTAATTTTTTTGTATTGTTAGTGAATTATTGAAACAAATATGTGATTAACTACAACGTAATAATAGATGACAAAAAATCAACAAGTCAATGACACATAAATGTTTCAAGATTTCCTATAGCATTACTCACTATGGCTCCGCCATCCACGAAGTTCCTAAAATTAACAAAACAATATCATTAAAAAGGCATCTAACTATATTTTTGCCATGCTTTGATTATAATTATGATGTGACACTACTTCATTATAGATTTAGTAAAATCCTACGTTTGTGAGAATGAGGCATATGCAATCCAATTCACATTAGGTGTTAACAAGTACCGATTATAAATAAGAACTCATTAGGTATTAAAGAGTTCACATTAAATATTGATCAATAACGAAGCAAGCTCATGACAATGCACAGTATTGGAGTAAAAACTTTCAACATATTAAATAATAACTGAACCATAAGCTCTCCTAAACACTGTATGCTTTCAATGTATTATATTTTGATTCACCATACATGACTTGCAATATGAATAAGGCATAGCCATTCTCCTTCTTTAATATCAAAAATAGTCAAACCAATAGTCATAGAAGATATGAGTGACAGAACAAAAATAGAAGAATGAGAGATGACCTCATTTAAATCAAGCCATATTGTTTTTCAAGTGATAGTCATTAAATTTGATGTTGAACTCAAAATCATTAAATTCTAGCAGTATCAATAAGAACTGATTATTTTATCCATTTCACTAATTATGACTTGATTTTCTCTATTAGTGAAGTACATGGAGTAGGCAGGGGAACATAACTTGGAAAGGAAAAAAATTGCTCTGCATTGCTCAATTGCACTGGCTGGCAACTGTAGTCATAAAAGCTGAAACCTTTCAACTAAATTTTACTATTTATATAAGCAGTGTTGGAAGATGCTGAGGAGAAGCAACGCACTAACGAAAATCTCAACAATTGGCTACACAAGCTTTAAGATGCAGCTTACTTTGGGTTGATAGCACCCCTCCAACCTCTGTCTTTTTCTCTGGCAAGCACTTGAAGATTCAAAGCAAGCTCTAGTTTAAGAGAAAAAAGGTCAATTAAAAATCGAGGTGAAGAAAAATCAAGAATTCTAAGATAGTTAATCTAATGAGATAGAGATAGTGGGTTTGCTGTGGGAATAAGATCGAAAGAGTAAGGAGCGGTTAGAGTTGATGAGGTTGTTGAAAGAGAGGGTGAGCTGGTGATGAAAAAAGAGAATGGACGGGGAAAAAGAAGCAAAAGGACACTGGTAAATTCACAGCATTCAAAAATCTCATTTTGACACCTCTTGTCTGATTTGGGATTAGTGGAATAGTCATTGATTTGGGCTTTATAAATTTGAAAAGTATTTATTTGGCATTTGCTCTTATTATTGTGAAAATTGAGAATTATAAATTTTATATGTGTAATTGTTTTTTAGCTTTTTTTTTAATTGAAATACGTATTTTTACTTGCAAAGTTACTTATAAAACACGTGTGAATTTTTCATGTTCATATTTTGTTATTAAAATATACACACACACACATACACACACAATGGTTATTTATCATTTTTTATTGTTAAAATTGTATTTTAACTTGGATACTTACTTATGAGTACTAGTGAATTTTTTATGTTCACATCTTACTATTATAAAAATTGGGAGTTATAAATTTACATATGTACAATTATTATCCAACTATTTTTTCACTACAAAAAAATAGTGTTTTGCAACCGTTGCAAATAACCACAACTAAATCATGCATTTTGTAGCAGTTTTGCAAAAACCGCTACTAGTGTTTGACTACAAGGATAGTGTTAGTAGCAGTTTCTTCAAAACCACAACAAAATTATGACACGCAAGCTTCGCGTTATGTGATAGGAACAGTTGTAGTGGAATTTTGTACTAGTTTAAGAAAAAAACACTACTAAGAAAAGTACCACGCACATTTGTAGTGGTCCTAAGTGAACCACTGCAAATTTCCAAAACCTTTACAAGAATTCTAAAAATACCGCTGCAAATTTTAAAAAAGTTTACAGTGATTCTGTCTAAAAATGTCATGCATTTGCAATAAAAATGTTTCTTAAAACCGCTACAAATACTACAAACATAAATCATTTTTAAAAAAAACATGTGCAGCGGTTATGTCAAGAATCGCTACAAATGTTCTCATTTGCAGCCGTTTTAGGAAGACTACTACAAATGTAGTAACAGGTCAATCAAAATAGTTTTTTAATAAAATATTACATTCGCAATAGTCTTGCGAAGAACCACTCCAAATGCAAATAATTTGCAACAATTTTTTTAAAAAAAAAACCAGTGCAAATTTTTTTGCAGTGGTTTTTGAACTGCTGTTAATCTTATATACTTATTATAAATACCCTCTCCCCTACTTTTCATTTGCTCTTTTCCTTTCTCATTGATGATTCCTCCCTCTCTTTTGCTACATCGATTTATTAGTGATAAAGAATATAAAAATTTTATTATATAATCTTGCTTCTTGCTTTCATTCATTTTTATACTTATATATTCTTTTAATTTTTGTATCTCTCTTGTGGATTCTTACCACAAGACAAGATATAGGGGTGTTCAATTATGTCCCATCCGGTGTCCCGTCCCTGTCCCAGTCATTTTGGGACAGGACAGTCCTGTCCCGAAAATTTTCGGGACGGGACAAAAGCGGGACGGGACAAAATTGACTCTAGATGAGACGGAACGTGGGACAGGAGTGTCCCGTCCCTATCCCGTCCTGAATTATTATCTTTTTTATATTTTATAAATTTACTTAAATTATTATATTAATAATATTATAATAATATAATTTTTATGATTTTATTTTTATCTTCAAAAGAAAGTATAGAAGCAACCTAAATCCCTAATTAATCAATTTCATAGCATTAGCGCTGCCGCATGAAACCATGATATGAAAACATAGGCGGAGAAGTTTTCCTGGTCATTTTGAAGTTGTATTGAGCAATGGAATTATACTGATTCCTGGTTTTCTTGCATTGTTTTCCCGAAAAAGCTTCAATTGTAAGTGATCTCACTCGCTCCCTCCCTCGCTCATTTTTCGCAGTGAACTTGCTTTGTTTTTTCCTTTACCATTCCTTAGGACGTTCAAATAAAGGTATCAAAAACTTCACAACACTATTCCGTTCTGGATATATTGTATACCCTATGTTGTTTTCTGTATTTTATATCTTTCAAATGAAAAGTTGGTGTTTGATCTTAGTTTTTTTCATATCATGGTTTTCTCTGTTTTGCTGACTATGCGTACTCTTAGAGGCTTAATAACTCTCTACTATGAATATTATTTTAATTAAAATAATGTTTGTTGTTTTGTTCCCTTATGGTGAGTGGTCCTTGAACTTTTAATTTAAAAACTTGAATAGCATCATTCTTTTTTATTTTGTTGATTTTGTTGGCAGGACTAGTATTTAACTTTTAAAAGGTCCTGTGTCTTTACATTGTAAAGAACAATGGCCTCTACACAAACACTTAGAGAAAGCATACAAAAAACTGAAGCAGATCCCCAAACTCAAATTGCATCAGTACCTGTTACTAAAGAGGAAAAAGACACAAATGTGACAAATAATGTGGGAGAAAAAGAAGAAGAAGAAGAAGGATCAAGAAAGAGACGTAGATCTTTTGTTTGGGAGCATTTTGAAAGGCCTACTTTAGACTCAAAAGGGGAACTCCGAGCAAAATGTAAGTATTGCTCAAAAACAATTGCTTGTAGCCCTACATATGGTACAAATGGATTGCTAAAACATGTAAATAGGTGTCCAAGAAATCCGAATAGAGCTAACAAATTCAAGCAATCTTTGTTATCGAGTTCTTGCATAGGAACCACTAATACTTTGACTCATCATTTATTTAATCGAGAATGATGTAGAACAGCTCTTGCAAAATTTTTGATATTGGATGAAATGCCTTTTCTAATTGTTGAAGGTGAGGGTTTTAAAGGGCTACTGAGTGAATTAGAACCTCGCTTTCATATCCCCTCACGAGCAACAATTACTAGGGATTGCTTGAAGTTGTACCTTCAAGAAGCAACAAATTTGAGAAGGTATTTTAAAAGAACAAAAGTCCGTGTTTCCCTCGCTACAGATACTTAGACTTCTAATCAGAATTCTAACTACATGTGCTTGACTGCTCATTGGATTGATGAAGATTGGACATACCAAAAGCGAATATTGAATTTTTGAGTAGTTGAAAACCATAAGGGTGATACAATTGCAGCAGAAATTGAGAAATGCTTGTTATTTTAGAGTATTGATAAAGTTTTTACCATCACTGTTGATAATGCTTCTTCAAACGATACTGCAGTAGCAAAATTGAAAGATGTTCTAAAACATTGGAATGGTTTAGTATGTGATGGGGACTTCTTGCACTTATGGTGTTGTGCACATATTTTGAACTTGGTTGTTTCTGATGGTGTAAAGAATATGCATAGGTGTATTGAAAGCATTCGAAATGCTGTTAAGTATGTACGAAGTTCTCCTGCAAGGTTTTGTAAATTCAAACAGCTTATGGAGAAAATGAAAATTGACTCACAGAGTTTACTTACCATGGATTGTCCAACTAGGTGGAATTCAACTTACATGATGTTGGAGCGTGCTATTAAATTCAGCAGTGTTTTTGAAAGGATGGAGAAAGAAGATATAGATTACACAACCAATTTCTTAGAAAAAAAATTAATTGGTCCTCCTGATGCTTTGGATTGGAAAGATGCAAAAGATTTTGTTTTGTTCTTGCAAGAATTTTATCATATCACTTTACAATTTTCAGGATCACTTTTTGTTACCTCAAATTTATGCTTCCAACAAATAGTTGATGTGTTTGTTATGCTAAATACAAGTGCAAATGATCCTAGTTCTTTAGTGGCTGACATGGCTAAGAGTATGCAGAGCAAGTATAATAAGTATTGGGGAAGGTTAGAAAATCTTAATCCTCTATTAGTGATAGCAGTTGTGCTTGACCCTAGGTACAAAATGAAATATTTGAAATATACTTTTGAGGATATATTTTGTGATGCTGCACAACAAGAAGCCATGGCCAAAAAAGTCTCAAAAGTCTTGTATCGTTTGTATGATCATTATTCAAATAGGCTTGACACATCAACTAGTCAAACTCAGAGTCAAGCACAAACAAGTGTTAATAATGCTTCTTCGACTCAAACATGTAGAACCTTGTTAGGTTCCAGGTCTTCATTGCAACGATTCCTTGCTGACAATGACACTGAGATTTTGGCAGATAAATATGTAGAGGTGGACAAGTATCTTCAAGCTGAGCTAGCTGAAGCACGTGATCTTGACTTTGATATTTTGGGATGGTGGAAAGTGAATGGCTTTAAGTACAAGGTCCTTTCATTGATTTCATGTGATGTGTTAGCCATGCCTGTCTCTACTGTTTCTTCAGAATATGCATTTAGTACAGGTGGTCGTATCATTGATGAATTCAGAAGTTCGCTCTCATCAAAGATGGCTGAGGCACTAATTTGCGCACAAAATTGGCTATCTCCATCAATAGTAAAACTAAAAGGACTTGATGCTGATAATTTTAACGACACGATGTCATAGTACAAGGTAATATCTATTCATTGTTTTATTTAATTCCCATTTTGTTCATATTTGTTAATTTACTGGTAATATTTTTTTTGTCCTTGTGTTTCTTTTTTGTAGAAGAATCAGCAGCTTCAAATCTCTTAGATGAAGAGGAAGGATCAAAGAACTAGAAAATGTTGAATTGTCTATTGCACATTCATGTTGTTTGCTACATTGATTAAGTTATTTTATTTTGGACTTAATTGTTATAGTTTGTTGAAACCCGTAGTTGGTAGCTATAATTGTTACTTTGGTGGAAGCTCGTAGCTAATAATTGTTTCTTTGATTATGTTATTTACAAGTTTTTCTATAAGAGTTTTATGATATTTTTTAGTGGTCATTTTGAGTTTATTTAGTTTTTTATCTTTTAAGATTACTAGAAACTTTTTTTTGTTATTAATTTTCGATCACTACCAATTTTGACCAGTTTTATTTATTTTTTGTACAATTTTTATCATGATATCTTTTTTTTTCCTACATTTCATATAAAGCTGGTTTTCAAATAAGAAAATTAAAAAAACTATACAGGACGTCCCTATCCCGTCCATATCCCATCCCGTCCCAATTGGGACAGGACACCAACGGGACGGGACGGGACATGGGACAAAAAGGTTGTCCCGTCCCAATTTTCAGGACAGGACTGGGACGGGGTCGTCCCTCTCCCGTCCCGTCCCATGAGCACCCCTAACAAGATATTCCTCCTCCTATCTTTTGAATATTTATTACTCAATTATATAAATATATACTTAAAAATTATTTCTCACATATTTAAATAACTGTTTATGTAAAACATATTTAAATAAATAAATCATAATATATAATTACATGTATTAGTAACAAAATGGATAAATAAAAAATAATAATTTGACAATAATTTTTTTAAAAACTATTTTTATTTGTAGTGGTTTTGGGAACAATTGCCGTGCACTACAACTGCTACAAATTCCAAATTTTCAAATTTTTGATAAAAATTTTGACGGCATATTTTGCAATGGAACTATTAAAAATTTAAAAAAAATGCTGCAAATTAAGTATTTCATTGTCACTTTTGATTGACATTTATAGCAGTTTCTGATGACCGTCACAAAATTTTGCAACAGATTTAACCACATTTGCAGCGTTTTGCTATATCCATTTTAATAACGGTTGTAAAACCCACTACGAAAGCATTCGTAGCGATTAAAACTGCTACAAAGGTATAAAAATAATTGTTGCAAGACATTTTTTTTTGTAGTGTTTGTTGTTAAAATATATATATATTTTGACTTGCAAAATACCTACGAGGTTGTTACAATTTAGAGGCATAAGATCATTTTCCTTTCAAACTTAATTTTACTCTGAACCAAGGAGACTGAAATGAACTTTTACATTGTCCTGGGACTAACTGAAATTTAAGTTTATATTATGGGACTCATATGAAATTCTCACAAATAAAACATTAAGACCTCGTGGGCACAAATGAATCTAAACAAATTAACAATTTCAAATCCCAAATCAATCAAAAAGAGGAAATATCCACAACCACGAAAATGGCTAAGAAGAAGAGAGACTCCCAAATTAATATCCACAAAAAGGCCCTTCTCATAAGGCATAAGAGCCAAGAAGGTCATTCCCTCACCATGGGAAACATAGGGAGCAAATCATCATACATTAATGGAAGTACTTATCATGTGATGGTAGCAGACACAATTCACTTACCAATTCCTATTATATGCATCATGTTCAAGAATCCTACAGGTGGTCAATTTCAAATTTCATAATTCATTTCCAAGTTAAAAGCCAAGGTAGTTTGATTTATTCAATGACCAGAATTAAACAAGGATATGTAGCTCGGAAACATAGGACAAAAATTCATTTATTTACATCAAGTTTTTGAGGGGCTCATTTAAGACTTACTCAAACTATTACTCAATAGAAAAGTAACATTATCACAAATCCCAAGAATTACATTTTCAAAACTCAGTCCCACGGAACATATGCATTTCCAATATATCAACACAATTTTAAGTATGTGCCAAAATAATTTTTATAGTTTTAGAGAAACAAAACTACTCATGAACAACATATCAACATATATAAAAAGTGAAACGTGGTTATTTCTCATCTAAACATGGATCAAATACCACAAATTAAATTTCCATATGCATAATAACACCAAATATACATAATTACACAACCACTATATATTAATTAACAATAACAACTAGGGATTCAAATCCCTAACTTAACCTAATTTGTATCTCAACTTCAAATTGACCATTCCAAAACTCAAAGCACTAACTTAATAGGTCAATCAACTCATAAAATCCTTAAGTGACTACCAATTATCCCAATTTATCAAAAGCCCCAATTTCTCAATATATGATTAATAATAAAAAATATTCAAATTTAAAAATGAACATTCTAAATCAATTAAACATCAATTCTACTTATACTAATGCAATCAAATCCTCAAAACTTGTTTTGAATCACCACATTATCATCTACTATAAAAAAAGCTTTCAAGAATTACTAACCCTAGCTCAAAAATCCTTGCAACTCTAAATCTAAGAAAACTAAACTAATTAAATACTTGATCTAACTCATGTAAGTCATTTAAATTCATAAGATTGGGTTAAAAAATTCCGCAAGCCAAAAATGCATCAAAACTCTAACACATTTCAACTATCTCAAATCTGAAAAATCTAACAAGAAAATCATAAAAATTAGGCTAAGAATAGTTACTTTAGTATTTGGAAACTCAACTATACTCTCAAGGACTGAAATTCACAAGCTCTAGCAAAGCCTCAATGATCATACATCTTAAACTATCTAAAAATCGTGTTTGGAATTAATTTTAAAAATTAGTTTTTGATGTGTTCGCTATGGATTCGCCACAAGAAAAGATCCAACTTTAAGAATTCATAATTAATTCCACACATTTCCAAAAATTAAAAATTAGGGAAAGTCTGAGATGCCTATTTTCTAATTGAGAAAGAATCACTCAAAAATAAGTCATTTATCCTCCAAAATTCTTGATTTATAAGATTGCTAAAAAATGTCTAGAGTCATAACCCCCAATCTAGTGTTTTTAAGCCTCAACCCTCTAAATTCAACTACTAAATATATCAATTTTTTTTACTAATTCCAACTTAAATTGATTCTAAACCTTAAGATTGTGTCACATCCTGCTAATTCTAACATGAAATTTAAGGAATTTAGAATTCACTAAGGGTCAGGTAGTGTAGTGAAAACATGAATAGAATAACTTTTGAAGTGAAACCTAGAGAAGGACCTAGCCGTCATTTTGAAAAGTTTTGATCAACGAAGGGTAAAATTAAAAATTATGCCCAAAATTCCTAAAAATTTCTAAAAATTTATGAAAAATAGAATAAAGGGTTTAGAATAGTATTTGAGGCCTGAAAGATGAAAATAGCATGAAAAAACTTATTTTAAAATTTATTGTAATTTCATAAATTTTGATTAAATAAGAAAAAATTGGCTAAATTGAATTATTTAAAATATGTAAAGGCCTCAATAATTCATAAAAAAATGACAAAAATTATTTAAAATATTAGTATAAAATTTAGAATTGTTCCCAGCCTTGAGAAATATAGAGGTTAGCTTTAAAATATTTAAAGCCAAAATATATTAGTAAAAGACAAATTTTGAGAAAAATTTAATTGAAGGAGTTATAGGTTAAAATAGAATCCAAAAAAAATTAAAAGAACCTCTACTCATTAAAAGGAGGCTATAGGCATAAGGAAATGAATTTTCAGAAGTAGTAGATTCAAGAGGATCCCAAAAAAATTCAACCAATATTGTGAGATTATGGAGTATGATAATCATAAGCTTGGTGGGTGATAAATCCCTATTTTAATATATTATTTAATGTCTTTTTGGGGATATTTATCAATTAAAGTGGATAAATTGCATTGATTGCAGGTATTTTGAATCAAATACTGATTACATGAAATTAGAGATTTAATAGGAGATCTTATCATATTTTTCTATCTTTAAAATTGATTTTAGATTTTATGATAGTATCCCAATTTATCTTTTGCAGGCCCTCAAAATAAGGAAATAAAGATCATAGAAAGCTGAAAGGAAGAAGAAGAAGAAAAAAAAGGAAATTGGAGACACAAACAACTTGGGCATCAAGGCATCAGATTATTATTTATATCTTTATTCATGAAAAACAAAGGGGCAACAAGGAATTCCAGAAGGCCGCCAATCATCTCTGATCCTTTAGATTTGATATTGGATATAGATCCCCTCCTTCATGCAATTTCACACGGCCACCTCCCTCAATCCCTTTTCTATATATACCACCGCAACACACAATCAAGGGACGGTGCATATACTCCACACTCATACATCACCCTCATACCCTTCGAATAGCTGCATACGCACTGCCGCCAAGACCTTTCGACACACAATCACGCCGCGTGCTTACTACACTCGTACACCACAATCACACAGCCCTCAATTCCATTCACGCGCACAACATGTTTTTCATATCCCACCCTTCAATTCCATTCATCAATACCCTTTCCTTCACTCATACACCACCGCCGCACACCACAATCCATCATCTCCAGTTTTCATATTTTTCCTTCGGCAAAAACGCAACCATACCTCATCGCCGCCACCATCATCATCTCTTATGGCTACTGAATTCTTAAGACGTGTTGTGACTGGGTTCAGAGCTATGAGAGGCTGAATTCACTATGCTCTTTGGGATTGAATTCAATGGCTTGAGTTTGGGAGCTACAAAGGGGAGTTTAATTCTAGTCCTTAGTTTAGACTATTTTGTTGATGATTTCTGGTTTGAAGTTTGTTATATTTGGTTTAAAGGTAAGAGTTGCTAGTTGTAATTCTTGGTTTGGATTGGAATTGCTGAGATTTGGATTGGTATTTATAAGTTTGAGTATTTGGTTTATACATATATTTATGTTTATGCCTTTGTTAATTCATTGTTAGTGTGATTTTTATGC